AAAAAAAGAAAAAGAAAAAAAAAGCTGTGTTAATGACATCGCCTGCTAGTATCTTGACTGTGTATCTTGTTGATTCATTAACACCGTCAGAGGGTTTAGCGCGGAAATTCAAGGTGGTTCTGAGGGAAATGCAAAAATGTTCAGGAGTGGTTTGTGAAATTTACCTAAACCAGAATGCATCTCATGTGAGGTACACAAGCTTATAGCCAGTAATGTGCTTATTTGACATGAGCATTGAGAAAGTAGTACATAAGCTACTTCTACAAATCAGAACCCATAAGTTTACATTATGCAATCTGTTACGCTATATGAAACTAGTCATCAAGTTGCTTCACATTCTTCTCTTGCTTCTACCAAGAAGGTCCACTCTATCTGATGTTGTCACGCCTCGGGCCCACGGGTCCGTTGGCGCGTGCAAGCCGTGAGTCCACGGAGAGCAACTTGTGGGTTGGCTAAATTCACTTTGCCAAAATGTTAGCACTAGTTGTTCTTGGGCCTTGGACTTTTTCTTTATTTAAACCACTAACACTTCTTCACACTAGTCCATGTGGGACTAAAGTGGGGTGTCACAATCACCCCTCCTTTCAAAGACAACTTCATCGTCGTCATGACATGACAATTAGCACATCCCAATGTCACTTGTTAGGTGATGTTGACTCTAGAGTTGGCTCCTAGGGGATCTAGAGGTGGCTCCCACCACGCTTCCACACGGTGTAGCACTTAGCCCCGTATAGCACTTAGCTCCACACTTCCGGCTGACTAACTTTTCTAATACCATTTGTCCCGCCTCGGGCCCACGGGCCCGTTGGTGCGTGCAAGCTGTGGGTCCACGGAGAGCAACTCGTGGGTTAGCTAAATCTACTTTGTCAAAATGCTAGCACTAGTTATTCTTGGGCCTTGGACTTTTTCTCTATTTAAACCATTAACACTTCTTCACACTAGTCCATGTGAGGCTAAAGTGGGGTGTTATGCCCCCAAAATGCACAACATATTTTGAGATGCATGACAACGGCAACACGTGCACAAAGCACATGCTAAGCCTGCGGTACACTTCCATATTACAATAAACTTTATTTTAAAAAACTTTATTTTAAAAAACTTTATTGACAAATAGAGAAGTTTCAGAGTACATTATAACAAGTTCACTCTAATGAGTCATAAGACTCTTATTACATATGCATAGCAGCAAGACTCGTATAACTTAAACTTTCAGCATCAAACACTGATGCGGCATAAACATGTACCAAAAAGGTTGCAAGTGCACAACCGTGTCAAGTTATAGTATTTAAGATATCGATCCCACGATGAAGGTGTTTTGTAGGAGAAAATATAAAATCGGTTCTTATGTTGTGTGCGTGACAAATAAGATTGATGAGTGAATGTGATTGTGAAGAGATTGAGATAGTGAAAATGGTGTGTAACTAGGTGCAAAGTGTAAGTGAGAGTGAATTTGAAAAAGAATGAGTATGATCAATAAGGTGAGAAGGAAAAATGAATAAAATCAAGAAACAAATAAAAAATCAAGAATGAAGAACAAAATTCTAGAATAAAAGAAAATACAAAAAATTAAAGATGGTGGATTCAATTATAGATATGGATAATCTAAAATTGAACCCACTTCTTAGAAAAGGGTGATTCCCTAGAGGGTTCTAGCCTAAAGGCGAATCAAACAAAATAAAAATAAACAAAAAGAAAAACTAAACCCAAGAGGGTTCTAGCCTCAAGGTGAATAGTGCAAGAAATTAAAATCTAACTACAAAATAAATTGTAAAATCTAAACTACAAAATAAAATTGCCAGAATTAAATGTAAGAAAATAAATCTACTCTATAAGTATGAAATAAATCTAAGGCAAGAGGGTTCTAGCCTCTTGGCTATTTAACAAGAAAATAAAATCTAACTACAAGCATAGAAATAAATCTAAACTAATAAGCAATAAAAGAGAAAAAAAAAAGAAATGCAAACCTTCAAATAATTCTCCATATTCATCTTCATCTTCATCATCCAACAAAGAGAAGAAGAGAAAAATTTAAAGTGGTGAAAAAATTATTATTATTAATTACAATAAAAGTTATAATTTTGGAAGGTCTTCTCAGTTAAGAGTAGCCCTCCTCTCCAAAAGGAGTTACAAAAATTTTCACACCCGTAACCCCTCAGTCTCTACCCCTATTTATAGTAATCTTCAATGAATATGAGTCATTGGATTTGTCTTGAGCCCCAAACAACAATCTCCACCTTTGAATTTGCTTTTTCAACATAAGAGGCCTATATGATTTATTTGATTTTCAAAAGAAAATCAAAATCCAATACAATTTTCTGCAGCCCAATACAAGTTCGGCCCACATGAAAATGAAAATCTAATCAATTCCGGCCCAAATGATTTTCTTGTAATTCAAAGCTGCAGCACCAGCCCATTCATGTTAAAAGCCAACTCTCAAGGTCCGACCAATTGCATTTTGCAGCAGTCCAAAGTCTTTCCATATGCATACAAGTCCGGCCCAATCCTTGCATTTGATTTTCGAAATCAATTCAGCAGCCCATTGGAGCTTCCCAAAACAAATGATTGAAGAGCTTGCAAGTCCAGTTCGGTTTCGGCCCATTAAGCTGAGAAAAAAAATGCAATTCATTTGAGAACAATTCTGGCCCAAGGAGCTCTTCTTCAGTCCTTTGGAGATCAAAATATGCAGCACACAGGTCCGACCTATTCTTCAAAATCAAAGCATCTAAATTGAAGAGATGGTTAATGGAAATCAACTATAACAAATCCGGCCCAAAGTCCAAAGTCTGCAGCAGTGATTTTTTTTTGAAAATCCACCACATCCGGTCATTAATTCAAATCTTTGCATAAAAACCCACTACATTCCAACTATTTGCATCCAAGTTCATGTTTGATTTTGAAATTCCAAGCCTCTACAACCAAGTCCAGCAGTCCGGTTCTATTGGCTTTTTGCTTCAATGTGCTTCTAAAATGCTACAAAAATAGAGAAGAGAGATTTTGAGTTGTTTTTACATTTAATAATATTTATTTATATTTCCATTCATTTATGTGCAAACTAATCTAACAACAATTATTAATGATATATTTATTCATATAAAATAGATAATGAGGGTATAAAATTATAATAAAATATGATTATCAAACACCCTAAAAGATCCTTCTCATGTTCCAAAGCTTTGAGATACAGATAAAACTATCTAATTTTTATCTAAAAAAGATTAAAAAACAACGGGGTGAGTTTACACTCAGTGAGCAGAAAACTTATCATTAGCGGATCAGACAAGTTTAAGAATTTAACAATACTAAAATTTAAATAACCTATCGTAAAAAAACGATTAAGAAACACATAATATTTAGAATAAGAGAAATTTCCAAGAATAGATGTGATATTTCATAAAAGAATATTCACAAATTATGAAACAATACGAATGAACACTAAATACTTTTAAAATCGTAATTATCCATTTAAATCTACACATGCAAAACTTCCTCAGTTGTCACACTAAGGCTACGAAAATTATAGCCCAGTAGCATGGGAATGCGCATCAAATCACTATATGTTAACTTGGGGACAGAATGTACCTAGCACTGCCATAGGTTGCCCGAATGCCACTTCACTTTTGCCAAAAGGGCCACTTTAATGCTGGTCGGTACATTCAATATCATATTGTAGGCTTTAACAAATCACTTCCTCCATAGCGGACTTCTGAGGATTTTTTAACATTTAAAACACTTTTCTTTTCACTCAAGATATCACTCATAATTTTCACTAGTATGAAAAACAATATAAATGCTTAAACACTTTTTTAAACTTTTCTCATATCAATTTCATGAAAGTAGAATATTCATGAATCTAAATGAATAGATAATTTTTTTGTCAAATAAAACTCTTTAATAAATGCATTTGAACAGTAAATTTGAAATGATATATTTTCAATAATCTCATATACTAAAATAATATTTACCTTGTAAAAGATAAA